AACATTTAGCGGTAGTTATACAGTAGACTATGGTCCATAGTACTATGTGGACCATGGTTGTCAAATGAAATTGTAGTATAATTAAAATGATACTTTTGTGTTGCTAAAATGAAAGTAGTGTGTGTGAAAAATGAAACTAAAAAATAGAACTCATTCAACAATGTATTATCAAATGAAACTGTAGTATAATTAAAATGATACTTTAACATTGTTAAAATGAAAGTAGTGTGTGTGGAAAATGAAATTAAAATTCAAAACCATACAATAACATATAAACTAAAATGAACCAAATAAACGTGGAGTGTAATTAAAACAATATTTTAGCATTATGTGGAAAATGAAACAACAAAATAGAGATCATACAATAATGTATATTGTCAAATGAAACTGTAGTAGAATAAAAATAATACTTCGTATTGCTATAATGAAACTAGTGAGTGTGAAAATAGAATTGAAAATAGAACAATATTATTAAATGAAACTAAAGTGTAATTAGGATGACACTTAATTTATGGACCACATTAAAATTTGTCAACATTCAGAATATATTATTGTGTATTTTAAAACCGACCCACCCGGTTCCATAACATAACTATTGCTAAAAAATATCTCAAAATTTTATGTAAAAACAAGTCACATTCCTAAAAAAAAATAATATAAATTGAATCAAACATGTCAATCTAACAATCCAAAACAAATATTATCCTGATTATCTTATATACCTTAGACCAAACACCCCTAAAATTTTGCAATTTTTTTTTTTTATATATAGTTTAGTCCCAAAATAAAATCCTTGTGTGGGGCCCAACAAAATTCTTTGACTTCTTCATCACCCCAGTCCCAATAAGTCCCCTGGGTGCTGAAACCCCCTCACTCCCCAAGTCCCCCACCCATCCACGAACTAAAACGAAATTCTCAGACTCACATCAAACAGATTCATACAATCCAAACCCCCTACTCTCATCTCTCTCTCTATACATATATATATATATACAAGTCAGAATTGCTTTTTCTCTCTAAGCCCTTGTGCATGTGCACTACTGCCGCTGCTTCTACTACTTGTTCCTAACACCTCAAGGTAAAAATTCCATCCTCTCTCTCTCTCTCTCTCTCTGAAATGCATACCATTTTCTGCTTAATCATGTTTTCCGTATATCAAATGGGAGGGGAGGTGGGATTCAAACTACACCTACAACCTTTTATCTCCGATCCTTTCATTCTTCCCTTATCAACAAACATTTTCTTAATCAAAAGGAAATAAATGCCCGGGTTTCTGAGTTCTTGTATAAGAAAGAAGAAACTCCTTCTTTTCTTTTTATTTATTTATTTATTAAATTTTTTGTTGTCAAAATTAGACTTGAGATTTCATACTTGACTGACATCTCCATTCTGCTAGTAAGAAATTACAATCGACTACAGTTTTTTACTGACCCAAAAGACATGGGTTTTCTGATTTCTTTTTCCCTTAAAAATATTTAAATAATTAATTATTTTTTAAAAAAATTTTAACTACTACTGTTGCGTGTTGACTAGCTGCTTCTTCTATTGTAGTACCCCGTTTTAAAGAGAAACCGTACTCATCATTAATTGTACTGGTGTCCCATTGAATATCTATGTGCAAACTTCTGCTAGCTTCACAACTTCAATTTCTTGCATATTTATCACCATTATATATATAAATAAATAAATTTAGGATGCATAATGCATTACGTACTTAAAAAGAAAAAGAAAATATTGCACTTTTCGTCTATCATTGACATTTTGCACTTTTCATTTCTCTACTATCAAAAGTTAGGTACAAAAAGTGACCACGAGAAGTTAATAAAATGACAAAAGGTGTAATGCTAATGATAGCTTAGAGGTAAAAAGTGAGCAATATCATCTATTATGGACGAATTCTACAATTATCATATAATTTAGGAATGAAAAGTACAATTTTCGCTAAGAAAAATTAAGATCTAAAATTTTAGTTTACTCTATTGCCTATTTTTTTTTTTCATCTTTCAAAGTTGATTGGATTTGATTCTCAACTATTAAAACTTCTTTGATACTAAACTGATGTATGTGTTGAATCTCAACTAAAAGGCTAAGTTGATAGTTGGATTGTTTATATTTTATATGATGAATATTAAAAGTCACAATATTAAGATTACAAGTGACATTTTTTATGGTTAGTATCCTCCAATCATGTGGATTTTGTATTTAAGATCAATAGTGAGGAAATGTAATTGTGGATCTATCATATTGAGTATAAACTTTTTAAGGGTCATTTAATGATTTTTTTTTAAATGTTGGGCAAGTATAATTAATGTATGTTTTTTTCTGGGTTTGTGGGTTTAATTGAGTAGGTCCTGTTTGGTCTGCTCGAATGGACACAAAAATGAGAGAAGGGCAGAAAGGCTGTGGTGGTGAGGAGGCTACTGTTGTGCCTTATTCTTCAAATCATTCAAGAAGGGGAAGCTTTGGCAAACCTTCTTGGCTTCTTTGCTCTGTTGCTGGTAGGTACATATATATAATCATCACCTTTATGCTTCTTCATATTTATTTTCGATCAATCTCATTTTATCTGTCTTGTTTATTGTGTTTTGAATGGCGACTGAGTATAAATTTAGGGTGTGTTTGGTTGGTAGGTTTAACACTCAGATATGGGTATAAAAGTGATTGTTATTGTTTGGTTGACTGATTTTTAAAACACTACTATGAATTTGGAATACCTCATTAATGGAAAAACTCATTTCCTTATTTTATAAGGATTTCATCCCATTATTCATCATTAGTCTAATAATTCTCATTCCACCTTACTACCAAACATGTAAAATACTTATACCAAAACCCATTACCATTACCAAGTATTTGATACACATTCCGATTCTGATTCTGATGTGTGAACCAAACACACCCTTAATATTTTAAAATAAAAATTAATACTTTAAAATTAAATTATATTAAATTATTTCTTCATTTTTTAATAAAAAATTTTCAAATCTCAAAATTTTAAAAGTACTCCCTACTCAGCCCAGGTTAAGAACTGTAGTTCATTTATGTGTAAGGATGGGTAAGGTGGGGCATAACAAAAGTAAGCAATTATTATGGCCCTACCAGCTTGCATTTCCATTTGGAATTATGTCTGCTGTAGTTAATAGAAGAGTCCAAATTTTACTTTAAATTGTAAAATTTCATAAGAGTTATTTACCTTTTTAGATGGAATTTTACTCTACTAAATTGATGGGGGGTGTGGGGTTTTGTTAGATCAATGTGCACATTATTTTACACATGTTGATGATATTAATTTTGTGTAGGGTGCACCAATTAACGAACAATTAATTAATGGACATAAAAATGGTTAAAATAGAGTAATTAAAACTTTGGGGTAAATAATATTTGTAATTAAATTTCTTATGTTAGGGTGAAACTTTCATTCCCCAGGGAAAAATGAGTACATTTTTGGATGTGTGGGAGAAAGTGAGATGAAAGGTCACTTTCTTCCTTACTGCACAATACATGGCGACACAGAAAAGTTGGCCAAAAAAGCCTATAACTTTTGCTGCTAATGTCAAATCTGTTTCAACCCTTATTAAACATACTGCCACAGTACCTTTTTGGGTTTTCAAAATTTGAACCAAAATAAATAAATTACACCCAAAAAACCAAAAAAAAAAAAAAAAAAAAAAGAGTGGCAGACAGAAAATGATTCTTCCTTAGAATTGTTTTCTGTTTTTCAGAGGCACGTCACAGCACAGGGGTATCATGTTATTGTCTTGTTTCTGTGGATGCACACAAAGAATCCAATGATGCACAGAGGCCTAGCTGTTACCTTTTTTTTTTTTTTTTTTTTTTAAAGCCATAGATTAATAATAGTCCGAAGACAAAACATTACACAGATAGGGAGGAGGGTTATAGAACCACTCCATTGTTAGTACTTAAATAATTCAGAAAGCTAAGGTGCCAATAATTTCTTAAGATGACCATGCATGTTTTTCTAGGGTTGTGCAATGTCGGTACATGATCACAAGGAGATAAATCAGTTTAGGTTGCTTATAACTGACTGATTCAAACTAAGGTTACCAAACGACAAACTCGGTTGGAGTTGCCGACCACGCATGTTTTTGGATGATGAGGAAAATCCCACGACCCTTTTAGGTGTAAGTAAACCCTTCCTAACCGGCAAAGGACCATAAGGAAGTAAACTAACCTAGCTAGGTTACCTATAGCTGACCTGCTCAGACCAATAGGGTAAAAATTCGAACTTATGACCTTATGGTTATAAGTGTGAATATGATCTCGCCATCTTGGCTGGGGTTAACCCCTACCATGCATGTTTCGTTCTTTGGTTGGTGTTCCTAGTTTTTGCCTGGTTTCAGACCAATTATTTTAACCTTTGAACCCAAAAGCTAGTGTCTTTATACAATGATTAAGCATCATTTAGTAGACTGTTTAAGCTACCACAATATGGAATCTTTGACGTTACCAATCCTTTCTCTCGCTGTTGCATTTATGTGCCCAAGCCAAGATAGTTAAGAATACAAACTTGTAACCACAAAGTCAAAAGTTCAAATCTCAAATCTTTTTAATTTGAGCCGATAAGTTATAGACAACTTAAGTTGGTTTTACCTCATTTTGGCCCTTTGTCGGTTAGGGTTACAAGACGGAGTTTACCTAGTATACATCCTCGGATAGTGGCAGTGGGTATTTGTGTTGTAGATTGCCATAATTGAAATGGTAAATATTTGATGATTTCATGAATTTGAATTGGAAAAATTATATACTCTCTTGGTCCCATTTTGCTTGTTCTGTTTACTCTTTATTGGTTAAACCAACTCTTTTTTCTTACTTATTTTCTTTAGTAATTTTTAGTTATTTTTAAATTTGATTGTTTGTGTTGTAGTTTCTAAATATATAAATTATATATATTAATATTAAATTTAATATTATAAAAATTAAATTAGAAATAACTTCAGTCAAGTCTCAACCAGACAAGTAAAATGGTATAGAGGGAGTATATTTATAGCAGATTTGGTTTTTGAATTTGAAACCCTAAAGATATCATTGTCACTTGGTACCATTGTTTTCAGCATCGTCTTATATGGCAGAAGATGGGCCAAAGGGGTCCATTTCTTGACCTTATACGCAATAAATCATCAAACAAATGTGATCTCAATTTCAAACTTCAAAATTTTCTATATTCTAATAAATGCACCATTTTCAATTCAAAATTGCGTTGTCTCTGTCAGATTTGGTTGACAAGTGAAGAACACAAAATAAAATTTAATGTTCTTTAAAAAAAAAAAACTTTTTCTTCCATATGAATTGTTCTTTTCTAGAAAAAAATAATCATGAATAAGTATTGTTAGTGCATAAATTCCATATAAAGGACAAATCCCCACTTAATTACTAAACATTTTTATTCTCTTATAGACTTGACCTTTAAGAACAAATGTAGATTAGATGAGAGTTTTTAACAATGTAGTGGCCTTATAAAAAAAATTATTTATTATAACATAATTGCACATTCTATTTTATTAAAAAGAAATAGAACGAGGTAACCCCAACTTGAGGGAGGCCCTAGTTTGAGATTAGTAGTAGTTTACATTTTTAATATACTGAATGTATATTATTTATATATAGAAGGTACATTATTTGGTAGTATATCAAATAATGTACTTTATAAAAAATGAACTTTTTAGTATTAAAAATGTATTTTATATCAATAGTTCTCTTTACAAGGTGGATCAGGGTCCATGCCATAATGATTGAGTCTGATCTAACCTGTGGCCTCGTTTAAGGAAGGGATTGAGGAAAAGGCCTGGTGCTAGCAAATTATTGTGTGGACCAGGGTTCACACAGTGTTAGGTGGACCATAACAAAAAGTACATTTTTAATCTATTAAAAATACATTATTTGTGTATTGAATGTACATTATACAAAATAATGTACTTTATCTGAATATAATGTACATTTTTAATATATTAAAAGTACATTATTTGTTTAGTGAATATATATTATTTAATAGTATAGTCCACACAACTTGCCTCCACTAGAAAGTTTTCCTTTTTCAAATGCGGTTTTGTAAAAAATTTATAAATTAAATATTACTCGTAACAATTAAGAATTTTTTTAACACTTATGATTCTTTACAAGTGTTATATACTGTTTCAATTTGAAGTTAATACATATATTTTTTGTTTGGTAAGATTTGGATGAGAGGATGAAGATGTTGGGAGTGAATCTCCCTGCAGAAGGCAAAGCAGATGACAGTTTTGCCAAACGTGCGGACGGCTACTACCAGCAACGCCCTCAGCTGCTGGCTTTGCTTCAAGATTTGTACAATGGCTACCTCTCCCTCGCCGACCGCTACTGCCAGGCGCTCGCCAAGACCCACCATTACCGCCGCTACTCCTCCCCCATCCCGTCCCTCCACTTCACCGACAACGAAGACGTTGATCAGGAAGACAACAATGGGGATGGCGGTGTTGATTCGTCAGATGCCGAGAGCTCTCTCTCATTCCAAGCTCAGTTTCCTCCCCAATTGGGAAACCAAGCCAAAATAGACCCTGATATGATCATTGCAGACTTGGTGGTTAGGACCGTGGAGTGCGAGATCATGCTGCACGAGCTCGCCCAGGTGGAGAGGCGCAGCTCGGAGTCGTCGAGGAAGATGGAGCTGCAGAAGAGCCTGGTGGAGGTGTTGGAGTCGGAGAGGCTGATTTTGCTGAACGAAAATGCGAGGCTCGGGTACCAGGTCTCTGCGCTCGCGGAGGAGAACAAAGGGCTGGCGTCGGAGTCCCTGTTCATGAAGAGGAAGGCGGCTGATCTCGCGAGGTGCCTGTTGAAGATGAGGGAGGACCATAGGGTGTTCATGCTGAGCCGCAAAATCGAGGACCTCCAAGGGCAGATCCACGGGCTCGAGAAGAGGAACAGGGAGTACTACGAGCAGCTCGTGAAGCATGAAGAGGAGAAGAGGATCAAGATGAAGGTGAAAAGTTTGGGGAGCTTCAAGGGGTGTTTCCAAGTACATGGAGATGTCACTTCTTGGGTCAACAATGGCAATAGTAGTACTAGTACTAGTATTCCTAGTGTGAAGAAGATTGGTCAGCAAGGCAATGGGGGTGGTTCTAAGCTGTGGGGTAGGGTCAAGAAATTTGACATCTTTCTTTGTGGACCTTATTTCAACCCCACCAACTGCTAAACCAACTCGGCTGGCTCCATACCATAAACCTCGGCTCGCTTTGCTCTATACGCTTCCCTCGTGACATCTCACCAATTTAAGACATTCACAATGCATGAGGTGTATCAACGAGTCGGAGACCATGGTACCAATTGGCAACTATCTAAGCAAAGGGCATGGAGTTTCAACTAGTTTGCTAGGCAAGAATGATATATAGCCTTATTGTACACTAATAGCCTACAACTGCTTAGTAGCAGACAATATGATGCTTTGCAGACAATTATGTATATCAAACTCCTAGTTCATTTGCTCTAAGTGCATATATTTGCAGCATCTCCCTCTGGCACTTCTTACAGCACTAAGAATTATCAAGGGGTTGTTTACTATGAAATTGGAGAAGTGGAAAAATAGAAAATGGAAAACTTGTTTATTAAACTCACTTCTCCAATTTCCTAACCTATCTCCATTCTTCACTTTTTCATTGATTTTGGAGAAGTGAAAATCAGACTTCTCTAAATGGAAAATGGGAAAAACACGTGTGAACAGTAATACCCTCCAAGAAATGGAAAACTGGAAAATGAAAAACAGAGAATTGAAGTAAACGACCCTAACTCTTTAGGCAAAATATACATTAGAAACAGCTTTTAGTCTATGCTTCACAGATCCTCCTATATTTACTAGGTAGCAGTCACTGACTCACTGGCTACTTGAACTCTTTTGTACAAGGTGTTTATTTACAACAAATATGCATGTTTTTTTTTTTTTTTTTTTTTTTTTAAATAATAATTATGCCAATGTTGAAATGTTGAGTTTGATGAAACAAATGAACACAGTAGAACTCATCTCAAATTGCCGGAGTCAGTTTCTCCTTGAGCTTAGCTATCCGAACCTGAATAAAAGTGGATGCCCCGAGGATTTCATAGGCACAAAGTGTCAAAGTCTTTTAGTTACACATGCAATTGACAACATGTATAGGTAGAATAGATGCATCCTAGTAGCATTAACAAAATTTAGAGCAAGAAGTCTAACATTTGTACCACTAAAATAAATATGGACATCAAAATAAATTATAGCAACAGAGTTTCTAATAAAGCAGGGACATACAAATATTTGAGGATGATAAAACAAAAGGGCAAACTATATCTACTCCAAAAGAAATAGAGAACTGAGTTCGCACCTTGAATGATTTGGAGCGACGTATGGAGGGATCCAGATCTAAAGCCACTGAATAGGAATTCTCAGCAGCCTCAATCTGGTCCAAAGCCATTAAAGCATCACCTTGGCATAAATAAGCCTGTAAAGTTAATATCTCAGTTAAGATCTGACTATATGTGCATTGATACTAATGGTTAGAATCCTTATACAAAAATTTGGTGATGTATATTGATAGATAGATCTTCATTAAATACCTGACTTTGCCTTTTTTTAGGAATTCTTGATACTTATCACAAGCACCCCACACCCCACACGACTAGTTGGAGGGGTTGTTCACCTTTTGAATCAAACAAAGTAGTAGGGGCTTCATAGAAACTTTCATTTTAAAGGAAAGCGAAAAACAAACCATTAGTCAATAGGAGCCCTACTTCCTTCTTTCCGACCCTCATCACTTCAATTAAAAGGCAAACCCATTTCTTAGTCACTAGGCTGAGCGCACCTTTGGTACTTTAATAGGGCGAGCTGTTTGATAGTGATTTCTTTCGTTTGGTAGGGCGACAAAGGCTACTTCAATTTAGGAAACAGTTGGAAACTGGAGAGGGTTGCCTTTGGAAGATTTCATCAGTAACAAAAGCCTCCCAACATAATCAAAAGGAAGGAGTGGGGCTGATTGAATCCAATCCATAAACCCGGAAATGAAACAAAGTTCGTTCCCATGTCAAGTAGGTAAAGTAGGCTACGTGTTAGAGGGATGTGAGAAGTTGAGAGATTAACTCCTAGCCTAGAGTTTTGAGTTTGAGTTGTGGTTGGCATCTTTCATTCCTCTGTGTAAATAGCCTAGCATGTATAACTTCTTCCATCAATAAATATACACTACTCTATAGAGTAATACGAACACTTCTACCTTGATAATTAACATGGTATCAGAGCGGTCAAAAGTGAGGTAGTGGGTCGTGTTTGGAATTGGGAGGCAACACCAGAGTCTGAGTTTCGCTGGCGACGGGTTCACGCGCCTTCACACACCTGCGCATGCAGTGGTTTCCGGCATCCTCTCTGATCACGGTTTGTACAATTGTTCTCGTCTCCCTATGTTGAGTTTGCCAAGGTATGGTTTGGGGTATCAAATTTTGAAGGGGTGTTGTCGGGAAGGAATTGGAATGGAAGAATATCGATTCATATAGAAGAAAAGGTTCTCTATTGATTCAAAGTTTCAAACACTGTACCTATGGGATAGAGGAAGGGGAAAAACCGAAGATTTCACATAGTACGTTTAGTACTTTTCTGATTTTTTTCGTACCTTTTGTTCAATGAGAAAATGGGTCAAATTCTACAGGATCAAACCTATGGGGCTTAAGGAATGATATAAAAAAAGAGAGGTGAAAGTATGAATATGAAATCAATAGAAATATGAAGTAGAAGAACCCAGATTCCAAATGAACAAATTCAAACTTGAAAGGGATCTTTCTGATTCTTGAAGAATGAGGGGCAAAGGGATTGATCAAGAAAGATCTTTTGTTCTTATTAGAAGATCGTGATTGGATCCACATATGTTTGGTAAAGAGAATAATTTGAAAGGGTATGGTTTGGGGTATTAAATTTTGAAAGGGTGTTGGTGTGTTGAGGCAGTTCGGCGGGAGTAGTTTTTCGGCTGTTTTTTAGCTGAGTTTATTTGGGGAGAATGGTTGAAAGAAGAACTATAACTATATTATGTACCCCTTCTAAATTAATTGATATAATGCTTGTTTCGGATGGGTCTAATTTTGCTGGGTATAACTATAACTATATTATCTACCCCTTCTAAATTAATTGATATAAAGCTTGTTTTGGATGGGTCTAATTTTGCTGGGTAGAAATTTTTGGTATTTTTGGTCAAAATAAAATTGAGTGGCATGGGTAAAGATGAGCATCTAACTAACGAGTGTCCAAAAAAACCCAATGCTGCAAAAGAGAGGAAAAATAATGATAAAGCTCTTTTATCCCCTATAATTAATTGTATTGATAGGAAGATTATATTATGGATGCAACACTGTAAAATCGTGAAAGAAGTTTGGGAATTGATAGATAAATGGTTTAGTGGGACACAAAACTTAAGAAACGAAAGGGATAAGGGCGGTCTTGCTTGGCATGAAGCTGTTGGATCGAGGGTAGAGTACACTACTAAAGGTCCTTAGACTTCCATGCAATTTTTCTTTAGGGATGTTGTTCACCATTGGATCTCGCCAACACAGCCCACTATAGTTTTTGTTACAAAGGTATCTTTTTTTGGTTCCCAGGGACTTTAGGGGAATCCACTCCCATGCTACAAACAGTAAAATCTAAACATTGACGCAAGCAAGAAGCGCACTAGCAGCGTGTGTTGCATGATTCTATTGTGTTTTTGCACTTGAATGGGTGGATAGTTGACTAGAAGATAACCTCAATTCGCCTGGCTGGCAGGCGGGCGGTGTGCTTATCTTGTATAACAACACCACAAAGCAAGTGGCTATTCTAGGTGCCTTAGGTGGGCAGCTGTGTGAGTGTGTGACAACACAATAGAGAAAGTGACAGTTTCGTGTAACATGCTATGGTCTCAACGCCCTTACATACAAGATAATGATTAGTTTCATGAACTATAAGCCTAGCTCACGCACAGTTATGAAGATTGGCCACAATCTGAGCAGTACCAACCACCCTACCCTGCAACCTATAGGCGGCTGTCCATCCTACAACCACCCAAAAAGGAATTGCAGTGATCTTGAATAGGAATCCTATGATGATAAAAGAAATCCGCATAAAAATACCACTAGATTGAGCACTAGTGATTTCGTACCCAATCAAAATCTTAGCTAATTGATTGAAGTGGGTAGCTCTAGTAGACCCATAGATCATGGAACAAATAGGGTGGGTAGGCCCAAGCACTACACTACACTACACGTATAGATGCAAATCCCTTGTTGTTACAGTATGTGTGGCTCTCACCGCATACGGTTCGCACAAAGACTCCTAAATCCACCTTAGCCTTTTCTTCCACCTCTCCTATATCATGTTCAAATGAGAACAATGTTTCATGTGACAAGTTGGACAAATCGCATTCGCCCATCTTGGGAGATCTAATGGCTATAAAATAAAGAAAAACATGATGTAATTTTTGTAATTATTTTAAACTTCATCCGTGGTCCATCCATGATAACTAACAATGCACTCAACTCGAGTGCACTGTCATAGATCTTGAGTGCATTATCAATTGTCTGCGGATGTACTATCAAACTTTTTCAAGTGCGTTGACGAAGTTTGTAATAATTACAAAAATCTCGCCATGTTTTTTTTCTCTTTTTTTCTTATTTTCCAACCATTAGATCTACTAAATCAATTGCTAGCATTTATCCACACTTCTCAAAGCCTTATTCTCGTGGTTGTCAGGCCCTATATATATAAGATTATGATCACATGAAAATTTGTTCTCAAAAGAAAACTAATAACTAATCTTTTTTGAAAAGATCGATCGGTTCTAAAACAATGAGAGAAAAAAGTGCAGTGGCATTTTAGTAACTTGTCAGGATCATCCCCCAACCACCTCCGCCCAACAATTCCCCTCCCAACCACCCTCGAACATGTGACCTGACTCTGATACCACTTGTTAAGATCAAACACTTACCACTTATGCCAAAAACTATTGCTAATAGCGAAAACGCAACTTTATTTCCTTATAAACCGCCATCACACTGTTCGATACACTAGGTGCTGGACTTGGCCTTTTCACCCTTTACTGGCTTCTGCCCTACAATCCCCGAGTGCTAGACTTGGCCTTTACCGGCCTCCGCCCAACATCCCAAACTTTAAAGTGTACTTTGCAATACTACAGAGTGCTTCTAGCATACAGCGAAATTGCACTCTATATTTTGTTGCGAAGTGCAATTTACAGTTAAAAATAATTACCAAAATGCCACAGCATTTTTTTCCTACCCTTTGTTTTAGAGTTGTTAGATATATAGACAGTTTAAAGTGAGAACAATGATTATTGTAAAAAATAAGAAAAAACACAGTAACATTTTCATAATTACTACAATTACTACAAGCTTCACGGTGCATTCACTGATATGGATATGCATTTATACATACATACATGTATGTGTATATGTGTGTAATACACACACACACATATATATACAAACATACATGCATACACACACACATATATACA